CCTCCACTTTCCTTTACAGAAGACAAGTGGACACTTGAATGATCAGCCAAAATGAGGTGGGAAAGAAGTTCTCATTTTTCTAAAGTTAATTAGGAATTTTCTCCATTTCTGTAAATCATGAGGGCTAAATTTCCATTTTCATTAAGTGCAAAGGATAATCATTGAGGATGAATATGGTCAGGAATTCAACAATAATAAAGAGCATGAATGCCACACACTTTCCAGAGCCAAATAAAAGTTATATTTAGACTTTATTTGCAATTTGGTTTTGTGTACAGCAGTGCTATCTGCAATACTTATCTAGTGGTTTTCACCTCCACTTCAACCACATCTATATTCTTTCTTCAATCCAACTTATCTTTAGCTAAACACTCTCCATGCTTTGGTTAGATATTTTTCTTTGAAGTGTCCAAAACAGAAGACTCTGCTTTTATGAAGTGACCCAGAAAGCTGGTGGATAACAAGATGGAAGAACAAGCATTTTGTCAGAGACAGTGGATTTCACTTTGGTCCTGTAAGAGAGTAAGTGAATCTGCCAGAAATGACAAATCCAGGAAATAGAAAGGAAGCCATTTTTAAAACATTGACCCAGCTGGGCTTGGTGGCTCAGCTTGTAATTCCACGCCTTTGGGGGGCTGAGGTGAGTGGATGGCCTGAGCCCGCGGGTTCGAGACCCGCCTGGGCAGCGAGACCTCATCTCTACAATAAATCAAAAAATTAGCCGGGTGTGGTAGCGTGCGCCTGTAGTTCCGGCTACCTGGAAGGCTGAGGCGGAAGGATCACCAGAGCCCAGCAGGTCGAGGCTGCGGTGGCCGGGAGCGGCCACTGCACTCCAGTCTGGGCGGCAGAGTGAGACTCCCCAACTCAAAAAAAAAAGAAAACAACAACAAAAAAACATTGACCCTTTAAAAATATTCGGCTTAGTTTATGCAAGTTTATTTTATAAACAGAAGGTAGGATCAATTTTTCTTTCTTCTGAACCAAATGAATGAATCAAATTATATCAAATTTTGATACCGCCCTTTAATGTATTCTTGGGGAATTCGAAATAATAGAAAAAAGAATATGAGTTTTCTAGACAGAGAAATCTGGCAGAATTTTTACTCTACCATGGTGGGAAAGTTATTTAATCTTAATAAGTTCCAGTTATCTTTCCTGTAATTAGGGTAATGGTGACCTCTAGGATTTTGAAATATATTTGTAAACATTATATGTGTATATATGTATATATAATAAACATATGATCTTTATATATATAATTGCTTTATGCACACACATTTACAAATATAATGAGACCTGAACCTGAATGCAAGTCATAGTGGTTGGCAAGACAAGGCAATAGATAAACTGGGATTTGGTTAATCTGGCTTTTAAACCAAATAATAATTTGTTCACCAGAGTCTTGTCCTCAAGTCATGAGAACGGTTATTTCTCATTTCTTTTGGCTCTGAGGATATATGTTTACATTGAATGAGAAGATACATATGACCATATCCTGCATTAAAATTCTAAGTCCATTACTTGGAACACTTACTAAATGCTCTTCCTGGTTATTTAGTTAGAAAGGAAATATAGATGTCAGAGACTATCATTGTACATTATTTTAGTAATTGTTATGATAAATTATTATTTCTCATTTTCCATCAATTCAAAGAGAAATATTCTTCATAAAATATGCATATATCAAAGGCAACTACCTTGAACAAATACCAAGACACATATATAGATACAGTAGATGCTCTTAAATAGACATTACATAATTTTAAAAGGTTTCTTTGATCTAATAAAGTAAGCTGGAAAATCAACAAATAAATTATAAAGCTCTTTTTGTTTCACATTAACAAATGAACTTAACTATTTTTAGAAAGAGAGAAGAAATCAGGATAATGAAACTATTAAATGAGGTATTGCTTGGGACTTACCTTCTAGAAATCTAACTAGAAAATATTTGGGGTATATATTTAAAATGATGATGTGATTCAGTCTTCAAATGAAAACAAAAATCAGCTATTTATCTTGTTGTATTGTCATACATCAAAGTCACCTGGAATGTGATTAAAATTCGGAAGAATGGGTGTTGAGTTATCATTCTTATTACTTAAAAAAATTTAAAGCTTTTTTCCCCCTATCTTATATATACATATGTATATTTAAAACCTGATAATAGTGAAAAGAGGTCACCATAGTAAAAATATATTAGTTAAAATGAATTGATATATGTGCTTTAATCAAATACACTTTTTAAAAGTCTTTGATTCCTTAAAATGCACATGTTATTCATGACAGCCTTTGGAAAATTTAAATTTCAAAAATTTAGTCCAATGATTAAAATACACCATAAATATAAAAGTATCTCCATCCACAGGCAAATTAATTTCATTTTACCAAATTTAATATTTGTTGTTCATTAAAGTTCTGACTAAAATAGAAAGTTATAGTGCCTACTACATAGCTGATGAGCACACAAAATAATTTAAATATTTCATAAAGCATTAATTTCATACAGTTCGGTAATATTTTAATGTCCCTTCTGAACATCCTAAGCAATCCTTGTAGAAAAACAAAAATATACAGTGTAGTTAATATTTAGTAATTTATTTTGACTGAAAAATTTCAGTGCATGTGTGGAGTTGACTTTAAATACTAACAATCTATTTTTATTTGTTTCTGTTTTATATTTGGAAAATGATGTTTTGATTTACATATATATAGTGAAGTGTAACAATCTACTTTTAAAGTCTGCTGTTCATCTTTACTTATAGTCAAATATGTTTAATTTAGCCAGTTGGCTCCTGGTAGTACCTCCAGCAACAGAAAATTATCATAAGTCAATATATCTTGATTGCAACAGCCTGTATCTTTATTGTCTGTCCAGATTCTTTTCACATCAAGTCTATAATTAAAAGCTAAGTCTCACAAACAGAGGTATTAGAAGACACACAATGGGGGCACTCTTTCCTGGAACAAATCAAATTTCCAATAACTCAGAAGGTAATTTGAGGGCTTCCATTATATAATCCTTCAACAAACAATTACATTCTATAGATTTTTCATTTAACAGCCCAGTCAGGGTATCTTAATATACATAAGCCATAAAATAAATTAAAAGTAAATCGAAGCATATGTTTTAAGTCCTTGATTCATAAAGAAACCAGTTGGATAACGTTTAAGCCCGATTTAAGGTCAAATATTTATATTGTTGGATTTGGCAACAGAGGTGGCTTCTCCAGAGAAACAACGTATTCCAAATGGTGTGTTCTATTCTCCTCTCAACTCCATTCATAAAATGCCTTTCTGTTACGCAGCAGGATCGCTGCTCGGTTAATGAACACAGGCTGATGTTTAGCATTAACTGGTTGTACATTGACACGAGCAATATCACTCATTTTGACTCAAAACCAAAACTTAAGCCAGGTGCTTTAGGCAGACGCACTTTTGCACCGGAGTCGTTTGCATTTCTGGGGGGAAGCAAACCTAATAATGTGGCTGAAATGGGGAATAAGAACGTACAACAAATGGGTACATCACACAGGAAAGCTCTGAGGGGTCCTCGGAAACGGAGTAAACCAGTTGTGTGCACGCGGATAAAGGGCTGGTATAGCTCTGGGATAAGCCAATCCCAGTGTGCTTGCTATTTTCTGCGGAGGCTGGGACCCTAACTGAAGAAAGGCGACTTTGGGGACCCTAACATTGGCTTCTCCTTCCTTAATGCTCCTTAACCAAGAGGAATTTGCTGTATCCCTACTCCTGTGGAGACCTGGCAACACCGAACCCTACTGATCTGCCTTAAACCTGTGAGTTGGCACCACGATCACAAACCGCGGAAGCCAAGAAGGAAGATCAATGCCAACACGAGATTGCATGCTCCTCTGACTTTTGTTTGCTCGGGTTTTCATTTCAGACAGACACTCTTACCCTCCTTTCAGAGCCCGGAAAGATAACGAATACCCCATCCCTCGTCAAGACAGCCCCAGTCCCAGCCATATGGAGCGTAGAGGGATCCAACTCTGCTCGCAGGATCGAGTCACAGAGTCGCATCTCCGCGAGTGGCCATCTACATCTCCCTTTAGGTTGGGCACAGTGTGTGCCCGGAGCGAGGGGAAGAAAAGCATCTCTTTCCATTGCCCCGCGAGGCCACACTTTGTGTACAGACCCACCTGCATGGGCGCTTCGTGTCTCATTGTTGGAAAATGTCCTTTCTCTGAGGCTAGGACAGCGCTGGCCCGGGCGCCCGGTCAAGTGTGCACAGCCCGCGCGATCCACGCTCCACGCTCCACACTCTGCTCTCCCGGGGTTCGCTCGCCGGCTCCAGCATCAGCACCGGAGCTGTCCTCTCCTGGCGCCGCACACGCGTACTGGCAGGGGAGCCCCGGGCGCTCCTGGGAGTTGTAGTCTCATCCTGCGGGGCTTCCCAGCAAACGGGCCAGGCGCGAACTACAACTCCCGGCGAGCATAAAAGGCTTACACAGGCGAGCTCCTCCAGTCGGACTCGGCCGCGGAGCCTCCCTTCTCTTTTCGAAGCGCTCCGGGATGCTCCCACTCTCCGCCTCTCCTGCTCTTTTCCACGCAAGGGGCTAGCGAAGGTAACGCCGGCTTATCTCAGCTGCAAATTTTTTCCTTGCTAACTATCGCCTTCGGGAGCAGAGTGTGGCTTCCTGCTTAGGTAACACACCACCTTGTACTACTCTCCAATACACACGAAGCCAGAGCTGCGTTCTGGAGCTCACCGCTCTACCACTCCCCATCCCGAATCAGGAAAGTTTAGACATTTGCTATAGGCAGAGTAAGGTTGTTTGACAATCTCACTCAACAAACGTGGAGGAGAAAGACGATGAATGGCACACGCGTAAGGGAAGTGGTTGACCCGCACAATTGCTTTGAGAAGGCGCGCGTGTACACACACACACACACACACACACACACACACACACCCCACACAAAAGTGCGTGGAAGCGAGATTTCTCGCTGAGCACCCCATGGACATCCCTTCTCCTGCTTACCTTTCCGTACAGCTCCATTGCAACTCGAGGTTCTGAAATTCTCAAGTCCCCTTGCTACAAAGGAGAGGGGGGTCTTACGTAGGAAGCGGGGTTACAGTGAAAAGACAACACAATGGAAGGGGTAGGAGTGGCGTCTGACGGAGCGAGAAGCGAGGGACGTGGAGAGGACGGCTGATTTAGATGGATGGCTTCTTTCCTCGGGAGGGAAAGCTTGGAGTCTTCAAGCAGCGGCTGCCGAGAAAGGGCTGAGAGTCTCTTAGGAAGTGCCAGGGGCGCGAGCGAGCTGGACAGCTCCTCCCCAGGCCCTCCCCCAGGCACCTTCCACCGTCATTAGCGCGCACAGCCGCCGCGGGCCGCGGGCTGGAGAGCTGATAGGGCACTGGGTTCTTTACCCAGAGCAAGTCACATAAAATGAACACATTCATCACCAGAGCCCAGAAGCACCGTCACAGGATGCGATGGGGGCGCTCTATTAAGTTATCCTGTCCTTTCCTTAACACAGAATCATCCCTTCTATTACAACCATACTCCTCACAGACTAGTTCAGTAAATGACTTTGGAATCTCGGAACGGTACTTTGGTTACACTTATCCTTTCTCGTCAGTTGACGAACATGTATGACCGTCCCTGTTTTCTGGACTTAATCTGGAAATAGCCCTTTCCACTCAGGAGTAAGCGTTGATCATCCAGCTATGAGCCTTACCTTGGCATGAAGTCAAAATTACTATATAGGATACAGAGTGGGAAAGGAATGCTTGTGATATTGGCGTGCAGGTAAACTTCATTGCATCAGGAAAAGTAGTGGAATGGAGGTTCTGAAACTTAAATGTACCCAATATATCTCTTGGGAGGGGGTTAAGATTCATATTTTCAAGTCATGTGTAGAGAGTGATTCACTAGATCTGATGAGAGGTCTAGGACTTAGCATTTTAAACAAAGACTCCAGCAATTCTGTTACAAGCGGTTCCTTTCCCATAATTTGAGACACGCTGCCTTAAAAAGTAAGACTTTTTCAAAGGTACAACCCTCGAAAATTTTACAGTATGGACTCAAGGTAACAGTCATGTATTGGAAACCTACCATATTCAAAATGCCCTGTTAGTTTTAGTTTAGTGGTGTGTGTGTGTGTGTGGTGATAGTGGTGTTGGTGTTTGTTTGCTTGTTTTGAGTTGGAGTTTCACTCTGTCACCCAAGCTGGAGTGCAGTAGCAGCCCACGTATACCAACACTGCAGCCCAGACCTGCTGACTCCGGCCATCCTTCTGCCTTAGCCTTCTAAGTAACTGGAACCTCAGGCATGCACCACCATGCCTGGCTAATTTTTTTATTTATTATAGAGAGAGCTTGCTAATTTGCCCAGGCTGGTCTCAAACCCCTGGGCTCAGGCAATCCTCTCAGTTCCACTTTCCAAAGTACTGGGATTATTTTGAGCCACTGAGCCTAGCCAGTTTTCTTTTTTTATATTTATTTACTTAACAAATATACAATCTATCCTGTAATCTTGCAGTTAGTAAGAATGTAGCCAGGCTTGGTGGCTCAGCCTGTAATCCTGTGCCTTTGGGAGGCCGAGGTGAGTGAATTGCCTGAGCCCATGGGTTCGAGACCCGCCTGGGCAAATTGGCGAGACCTCATCTCTACAATAAATCAAAAAATCAGCCGGGCATGGTAGTGCATGCCTGTAATTCCGGCTACTCGGAAGGCTGA